CTAAAGGTTATTTTTTGTCACTTTTTCTATCAAAAAGCTGTCAGTATTTCACTTTTCTCAGTCCGATGACTGCATGGCAGTGCTGTGAAAGGATTAATGATGCATGATTACTATTATTAAACATTAATAAGTTATAATTTTATCAGGTGAAAGTATTGAAGAAACCGCGCTTTGAACTCAGCAAGTTGTTGGAGTTGCATGGAGATGGAGGTGGTAACAAGAGTGAGGAAGCTGGTGATAGCGGTTCCAAGGTTGATAGACCGGAAGGCTACGAACCACCCGTACAAGAATCTGTGTAAAGATGAGTGTATAATCTTTCATAAAAATAAAAGACACATTTGATATGGTGTAAATAATGTTTTTATTTACTTTTTACTTTGTTCATATCTAATGAACACAATTATAGTATGCGTACACTACGAGATATAATTATATATTTAATCATTTCATTGATGTTAAATGATAGTTTAATTCGATCAATATAATAGATATAATCTTTGCATGCAATCGATGAAGAAAATGTTTTTGACTTGATTAAACTATAAAACATTACTTCATTATCGCTTTTGAAACATATGCTGCACTATCTGTGAGCAATGTTCTAAAACTTTCACTCCAGGATGCCAGCACATATATAAGGAGCAGAAAGAAAAAGATTTTCGTAAATACATCCACCCAATACATACTGTGACAAAAGAAAAAGAAAAACGTTAAATTTTTTACGTAAAAAAAAATTTTTTTTTGCGCGATTTCAAACTTACATTCTCAAATGTCGACGAGCGGCCGGTAGAGTGTCTGGAGTTTCATTCAATATGTAAACCCTTGCAGCTCGAATGCAAGCTTCGAAGTACTCGTCTTTGTCCATGTCATCGCCGTGCAATTGATATTTGTTATATTCTACGCTATTCATTTTTCTCCTCGCATCGAGAACACTTGAATTATCAAAGTCCCATTGTCTATTGGCATAATATTCGAAAACTTCGAAACCTTTGTTTATACGGCGATGGATACGGCACATACTGCATATAAACAAAATGAACAAGCGTATTATAAGCATTTTTTGTATTTTTGCACTTTTGATCTGACATGTGTCAGTGATAACTCACATTGGTTTATGGCCTGCCAAAAAGAGAAGTGAGTCAATAAAATAGGCCGGAATCATGTGAAAAAGTAAGACACAAATATTATGCAAAAGTCGCGATTTCTTCATACTACCACCTGGATACCACAAGATTCCGTTTAGAGGTACTCGTTGCGTTATTTTTCGCCCGCGTTCTATTATTTCCGTCCAAGGAACCTGTAGATCAAAATACAAAAAAAAAAAAATCAAAGATCTCGTTTCAACATCGTCTGAGGATGCATATACCATAAAGCGTCATACAGCGATCTATATACCTTGAACTCGCTACTACTTGTAAGATTATAAACTCGTTTCTCATGTTCCTTGAAATAAATAAAATTGCACGTGCAAAGAAGAATAGCATTGACGGCGATATCAGCGGGAAGATAATCAGCGTAACCGTTTTCATTGCAGTACATCGTTCTGATTACTCCCTTCCCAGCACCGATTAAGAGACCAGTCGGTCCATTAATATTGTCCGTCCAACCGGGAAGCGGATCCTTCCAGATAGGAATAACTACGCTTGGCCTGATGGTCGATAAATCGTCAATAAATCGAAATTATTTAATGTATGTGTGTGTGTGTGTGTGTGTGTGTTTGTGTGTGTGCTCGTTCTAATATATCTACACAAATTTCTAAATCTCAAGACTTTTGTCGATAGGTACCTCAAAATTATCGATGGGATATGCGGCATAGATTCTTCGATGAGACCTTCCGATAAGGCTTTCGTAAAGGCATATGTATTCGGTAGCTTTCCCAAGATCTTGTCTGTCATAGCCTCAACTACATCATCATCCATCCATTCGACGCATTTGATTACTTTATGAGGATCCGCTGGCGGAGGATACGTTTTCTCATACAAAACCTACCAAGATCGGTTGTTCTAATTTATTGTTTTTTGAACAGTTTTTGTGTGCGTGCATATAACAGGATATTTCGTAACTGATGGAAACGGGAAAAAGGTGATTCCATATGAAAAAAAGAAATTGAAAATATAGAATAAAGTTTTTTCACACGAAAAAAAATTATTTGCGAATCATGCTTATTTGGCGAAATAGATTACCATATCGATAAATAATTAAAAAAAAATTATGTTCTGCTCTTTGAGTAACTCGTTTATCGGGATATCGATGGTTAGGATACCGATTCTAGTAATTAGCGGCAGAAATGTTATCGCCACATGCAAGAATCATGCCCTTGTACTCTTGATTGTTGTATGTAATGATAGAAACTCTAAGAGTTCTTATCGATAAGGATAAATTAGCAAGATTGATAAAAAAAAATTCTACTAAATATAAATACAAACATGTGCAGAGATAGTTAAGTGCACGAATATACCTGACGAATATTCTAAGTTATTCTTTTTTCGAAAGCAAAGTTTCCTGAAAAAACAGTGTGAAAAAATTTTATTTTATATTTTCAATTTGTTTTTTTTTTATCATCTAGAACACGTTATATATATGGGTATGCCAGGAGGAAAGGTCAATATTCTTGGAGATAATGATATCGGTCATTTTAAGCAAAAAAGTTCATATAAACGAGTGCAAACTATTTCAAACGGTTTCCGAAATAGAGCTGTTTGAATGTATAGTTGCAAAATTACTGATAAGAAAGAGATACTACATACTGTTTCTAATTTATTGTTCAAGAGTGACATATTTATTATTTATTATTTTTTATTTATTTTTTTAATTTTTAATTAATTTTTAATTTTTATTTATTTATTTATTTATTTTTTATTAATTTTTTTTATTTTTTACAAGGTATCTTCATATAGTGTTTGTCATACACATGTTCGTGGCACACCGAGACGTGCAGCAACTCTTCGCGTGCTAGTAGTATGGCTACGCTGTACCATTTCAAGAATGTTTTCCTGTTCCTCCACATTTTGTTCACGTCCTTGTTCAGATGAAATATGAGCACTGGGAAGCGTACTTTTACGCAATGTATTGAAAACCTTGGAAAACATTACGATCCGGAATTCTGCGCGTAGAAAAGCATCGACAGTATTCTTCAATAGCAGCAGTGGCACTATCACAAAAGCCGTGAATATACAACATATCTGCATATTCGATATTTGTGAAGATGTGCGGCATTTTTAACAACATTTCTACAATATCATTATCAATAGTCACAACAGTCAACTGACGCTTCAGGCATAGTGAGTTAAATTGTCTCGGAAACCACTCGGAATAGGACATTCGTTCATATAAACATTTTTGCTTAAAATGACCGATATCATCACCACCCAGAATATTGATCTTTCCTCCTAGAACACCGTATATATCGGAAGCTAACCAAGTACTCTTGACATCCTACAATACCGACGAATTATTGTGCTATATGGAATATAACTACAATGTAATATACCGTGTTCCAAAATTCACTGTCAGTACTGGAAATCTATAATATACGTTACGTGAACTATAGATTTTCAGTACTGGCAGTGAATTTTGAAACACGGCTACATTATATTACAAATGTGACATCTATGAGTGGGAAAAAGTACAACTAGTATATAACGTATATATAATTTACATATTAATTACATGTTATATAAGAGCTATATAAAATGTTTGCTAAGAAGAAAGATATGAAGATCTATCAAACGTATCACATAATATACATATATACATATAATGAATACTTACGAACCAAAAACACGATAAAATACAATCAATTCCGATAATAACATGGCCAGAAAAAAAAGAACACAATTTTTAAAGCGTCTAATTCCTGCAAAAAGATGCATTTTAAAAGATTCGTCGTGAAAGAAAGTTTACAACGTGTACATATAGATTTGCCGTTATCGCGTGCAATGTAATCGCAGGTCATATACCGGAACAGAGTTTCACTTTACTCGTTTTAACCGCATTTTCTTACACTATCTGTACTTAAAATAAGAATGGCTATACATACAGAGTGTCCCACCGAAAGCGGCCCCCCCTTTTATCTTTTAAACTAAAAGAGATAGACCGTAACAAATATATATCAAATTAAATGGTTTAAATTGAATTTTATTGTGAGCATAGCAGTTGCTTACAAAAGTTAGCTGTGTTAACGAATACACAAGTGTACATAATTTTTTTATAACAATGTGGATATTTTGACACAATAAAAGTTAGTACATATTATATGAGTTTTATTGGCTTAAAATATCACGGGCGACGTTTATCTTTTCATTTTCGGCTCTGCGATATGGCCAACTTCTGACTCGTACATTAAAGATTGACGTATGTCATGTTGTCATTTGATCATAAAATCAAATGATCTCGAGTCAGAAATTGATTATATCACAGGGCCGAAAATGAAAAGGTAGACGTCGCAAGCGATATTTTAAGCCGATAAAACTCGTATAATATGTAAAATATTTACATTAAATCATACATCGTTGTATTCGTTTCAAACAGCGCTACAACTTTTATTGTTAAAATGTCCATATTGTTATAAAAACATTATGCATACCTGTGCGTTCGTTAACACAGATAGCTTTTGTAAGCAACTACTATGCTCACAATAGAGTTCAGTTTGAATCAATTAATTTGATATATATATGTTATGGTCCATCTCTTTTTTTAATTTAAAAGATAAAAGGAGGTGGCAACTTTCGGTAGGACACCCTGTATATTTTTATGCTTTAAATAGAAAAAAGGATAATTGTGGTATCAAACAAAGAGCAAATCTCTCTCTCTCTCTCTCCTTCTAAAATAATCCTTAAAATTAATAATCCTTAGGATTAAGGGTCCTTAGGAATACTAGAAGAAATTGGCAGCATAATATATCTTATTGACCCTAGCCATGGAAAGAAATAGTTAAAGAAAATATAAAACTTGTGCAAGTAAAGTACGTTATATATAATCATTATTAAAGCGCAATATCTTTTGCTGTGATATTTTATCTAAACATAGCTGATGTTTTTATATACAAAAGCAACGCAATAGATATTTCATAAAAATTATTTTGAGATATTTTATTTAAGCTGAATATATCATAATTCTTTTCTTTTTATTCGCGAATTTTCTTTCCCCACTTTCTTAATCAAAATGGGACCTTTCACTCTACCAGTTATTTTCTTGCGTCTATAATCCTGCGGACTACTTATACTTTGGTGAAGACTGCATGATCCAACACTTCTACAGTGCGCTCGAATTATCAAGCGCACTGGAAGGAACAGTTGTACAGTCAACATTTGCTGATCACGTAGTGCACACTGCGACTATACTGCAAGATATTTATGTTCCTTTGCAATTTTGATACTAAGCATTTTGTGTAAACTGTGATTTTTGTAAAGTTCTGCAAATCGCTAATAAATCATTTATCGGATTTTTAAACATAAGGTAATAAAAACTGCGAAATTGATAGATAATTAAAATACACAGAATATACATATAAATAAAAAAAATTAAAAACTTACACGCATCACATTTCTTTTGAAGATTAGAACTTCTAATAACATAATTAATTTTGCTTGCAACAAAACTTCTCCAACAAGTCATACGGCGTAGTTATAAGAAATAAAATATATTAAGATACTATATCTTTTATCTTAACTAAAAATTTTTTTAAATTGTAATATAATGAAGCGATTTGGAAGCCGAAATTTTATACAGCATAAAAATCTACAGGAAATAATCATTTCTTACTTGTTTAAAAAAAAAAAAAATTTGGACTATGTTATTGAAAGAAATTATAAAAATTATAAAGATATTATAAAAAAGAGAGATTATAAAAAAAAATTGATTTTTTTGTATTTTACAATGTTTTTCAACGACATTTATTATTAGATCGCAAAATGATGAATCTGAAGGAAGCCGCACGTATGATCTATGATTTATTTCTATTCATCGGTGTAGCGGTACTTTACATTACTAAAACCGTGATATCAATGCTAGTTCCTCGCCGATATCGAGGAAAATTGATCAAAGATGAAATTGCTCTCGTTACGGGTGGTGCAAGCGGAATTGGCAAATTAATCGCGATTAAACTTGCCAAACTTGGTGCGCGTGTAATTGTCTGGGACATCAACAAAAATGGTAACAAATTATTTTATCTCAGATGAATAATTATTTTTTGTAATCAAGTAACTAATATTTAAATTATTTTACATATATATTTAAAAAAATAGAGAATAAATTATACAGGGTATTTCAAAGTTAAATACGTCCTAACTTAAAATATGAAAATTTAGGACCTCAAAATAAATCAACTAAATTAAGACATCAAAAGACGACATAATGACATCTTTAATCATTGGTGTATGATGTGACTAATGGACATTTAAAAGACGTCATTTCTTAGACCTGCCAAAGACGTCATTTTGACATTTTCATCCTAAAGTTGTTTAAATAAAGTTCTTTTATGATTTGTATCGGGATTAAAGTTCATTCGTTTTTACCGTTATGCAACGCATTTGTTCACTATCTATACTTCTATTCAAGTTTTTGTCATGGACGAATATAAAGCCTTCAAAATGCGGCTGATGAGATTGTAAGAACTATTTCTATGAGTTTAATAATTTCTGAGACGATCCTTATATAAGGGAATTCAGATATTGAACTAATTTTTGAAAAATCGGACAGATAAATGTTCGATTTTCACTTATTCGGACAGAAATTGTCTGAATAAATAAAAATCGTTTGTTTTTATCTGCTTAAGATATAAAACAAAAATTAACTTTTATATAAAAAAAATCTTTAATTTTATAAATTAAATTATTTAAATTTATCTATATATATATTACATTAATATATGTTATATATATTAATACTGTGATTGGTCTTACTTCGGCCGTCAAAAAAATGTCAGAAAATGACGTCCCCGGATGACATATCGATGTCATATTCGGGTCTCATATGACTTTACTTAAGACGTCTAATTGGTTATTTTGTGACTAAAATTTACCGTCATTATGTCGTCATTTTGCTACTTGGGTAATTACATCTATCTGTGTTTGATTTAACTCCTTAAATTATACACAAACGCAATTCTATATATAAATTTGAAGACATGTAATATGGACAAAGTATAAATATGCATATGTAAATGACATGTAGGTCTTACGGAAGTTGCGGAGGAAATAAAGAAAGTCGGTGGAAAATGTTACACATATTGTTGCGATATCGCTGACAAAGAAGAAATATATCGCATTGCGAAAGTAATACAGATCGAAGTCGGAAATGTAAGTAAAAAATAAATTTATGTAAGTTTATAAACTATAAATAATTGTTTGTATTGTGCAAAATTGTTTGGGCCAAACAGTTTTTATTATGAAGGTTTTTTATTATAAAATTTCCCACTTTCTTTATGCACAAAATAAAAATGCTATTGTACGCTTTAACTTTCGCTCGCTTTCCCACTTTAACAATATAGTCACTTGTTATGGAATTACACGAAACAGCAGCACAAGAAGAGAATATGTCACTTTATGAAACTCAACTTATTCGCAAAATATAAAATGTATCAATTTGCCCACGAATTACGCTATTTCTGAATGAAGAATGAGTCAAAAAATTTTGAACCATTTTTATGCGATGCTTAATAAAAGCGGAATTTTTAAATAAAGGCTACCTAATCAGCGCTGTTTTTTAGGCGAGAATACGTTCGTGAGTCGCGCATCGATTAGTGTGCGTAGCATACATTCAACTTGGCTCGCTGCTTACGGACGTATGCCTGCCTAAAAAAATAACGCTGATTAAATGATCTTTATTTAATAATTCCTCTTTTACGAGTGCAAATTATGACGCACTCTATAGACAAGATTATAACGACATCTCACTATACGAATATTTGGTTATATACGCAAAAGATAATTTAAGAGAGAAAGAGAAAGAGAGTTTTGCTTATTAAAAAATATTTTTTGAAGATTTAAAACGCAAAAAAAAATATAATTTATAAATAATTATTTCAGGTAAGTATGTTAGTGAATAATGCTGGATATGTTTACGGAAGAACTTTTATGGAATTGCCAGATTGCGAAATCGAACAAACATTTAAAGTAAATATTCTGTCACATTATTGGGTGAGTATAAATATTAACTCTTTATTTTATAGAAATCGTTATTTTTCGACTATATTTCATTTAATATTATTGCAGATTACAAAATCATTTTTAAAAGACATGATGAAAAAAAATCACGGTCATATTGTGACAATAGCAAGTGTCACGGGACTCATAGGAACTTATAAATGCACGGATTATTCTGCGACAAAATTCGCAGCCATTGGATGTCACGAGAGTCTTTTTACCGAGCTAAAAGTACATAAAAAATTATTTAATAAAGCGAATAATTATCGAGTGACAGTCGACTGCTTGCATCCTAATAACTGCCTACGAAACTCCCTGATCCGGTTAATCTAGTAAAAAGAATCTAAGCATCAGTCCCTGTGAATAGTTATGGCAATTGCAACATAGGCAAACCGAATGCTTTTTTGTCATGTGATATTTAGAATG